TCTTCCTCATTCTTTCTCTTTGAATTCTCTATTAGACGGATGTTGAAAGTTCAAAATGTCTTCTAGATCATGTGACTTTTTACTCATACTTGCCAATGTTTTTCATCTACAACTTCATTCTGAAGACTCTCTTTGCTTAATCTTCCAAGGTGATTAATTTGCCTTTTTAACTGTGTCCACTCTATTTAGTCCATTGATACATTTTTATATTGATAATCACATTTTTTTTGAGAGGTTTTTGCTACAGGGCGCGTGCACTCGCCAGAGAGAGACAGACAGAAAGCGAGAAATCACCCCCCAGGGGGAATGGCCACGCCACAATCCCTTTTCTTCTATTCTCCTCACAGGATCTTGGGCATGCATGCACATGTGCCCGGCGTGAGTTTAAACAACCAGGTCCGGGACTCGAACCGTGGTCGACTATGTGGGAGTCCAGCGACACAGCCATTATGCTAACTGCTGGTCCCTGATAATCACATGTTTAAACTTTAAGATATCCGAATGGTTTAAGTTCAATCTGTCTCATTTGTTTTATAAATCCAACAACTTCTCTTACCTTTCTGTGACTATTAATTTTATTTATTATAAAGTCTTTACTGCCAGGGCCAGCAGGTGGCGTGGTGGTTGAGGTGTTGGACTCCCACATGACTGACTGTGGTTAGACTCCCAGACCCGGTTGCTTGCTTTCTCGCTTTCTCACTTTCTCTCTCTCTCTCTTCCTCTGGTCAAATTAAAAAGATAGATAATAATAACATAAAACTAAATAAATCTATTTAAAAAAAAAAAGAATAAAATCCCTACTGCCTATTCATTGTTTCATTGGGTGTCTTTTTTTTTTTGAGCACACATTTAGGGATGACTCTAATTAAATCAACACTTGGAAATAGTTGCATGTTTGCGATAAAGATAATCGAACACAATAATGAAGAAAAAGTAGTATTGAGATTTGCTCATTGAACTGTGCTTATTCATTCTCGCAGCCAGTTCCTATCTGAAGTAATGATGGAATTTTTATTATACATTTTCATAGACTCGAGTACAGGTGACATTATTCATGATACAGTCCACCACTAATTTTCCATCTTACAATTTTCTTGTTATTGTGTTCTTTCCCATCCCATTCCTGATGTTGAACCAATGCACCATCCTTAAAGGCACAGACAGTCTGAATTTTTCTGTCATCAGCTGCAGTTTCCGTAAACTTTTCTCCCAGGGTACAAGAAAACTATGTTGTTTTTACAGTGCTCTCAGTTTTTACGGTGAGGTTATTCCCATCACAAGTACTGATACAATCTGGTCTGGCCATTGCACCCATTTTTCGCAGGGCTATTCCCACACCTAGTTCCTTCAGGTATTCACTAAAGCCTTTGCTGTCCACCAGGTGCCATCTTCCTGCCAGCTGCTGAACACTGGCCATGGTGAGTATAGGCGGGTAGGCAAGTGCAGCAGGCAGGCAAGTGCAGCAAACAGGGAAGGGACTCCAGTGAGGAGCATGTAGTGCCCATTGGGTGTTTTATTTGTTTGTTTAAGCCTGGTGCCTCATGTATCTATCATTGGGTTTCCTCAAACATTTAATGATTCTTGGTAGCAAGATCATTTTATAGTCCCCAACTGTCTCTGTATACTGTTTCTGTTTACTATCAACTGCTTCCCGTGATAATGTGGGAAATACGGGATATGATGCCTGGGGTCATGTATATCTTCACAGGATGAGGCTCTCTGGGCTTTCTGACTATCAAAAATCTCTTGAGGTTTCTCCCAGCCTCTCTGGCCTGTGTTATACTCAGTGTTCAAGCATGAATTCAGAGTACATTGGTGGTGGAGAAAAGGATGGTTTACTAGGGGCTTAGTTACTATTATCTCCTTATTTACTACTACAGGCTCTCCTCAATACTGGAATCTGACTCTGGTTTGGCTCTACCTGGAACTGCACCTACCTCAGGAACACGACTGATGTGTGCTATGTCTGTGAGTATATGTTCCCAAGTGAGACAGAGAGAAAGAAATCACCCTATTATGCCACAACCCTTTGCCCTCTACTTCTTCATCCCATCAGGATCTCAGGCATGCATGAACACACACTCATGGTATTTTTCAAGCCACTGGGGCTGGAATTTGATCTGTGGTTGGCCATGTGCAATCTGGCTCCCTTAACCACTGTGCTATAGGGCCAGCCCAATCTGCATATATGTTGAGCTGTGTCTCCACCAGGTTTAATTTCTCTGTGGGTATCATACTCATGCTTAGTATCTTTCAGGGATTCTTGAAATTTCCATCCATTGATGGAACGCTGTCTTGTTTCCCAGGCTACTATAAATTTATTCATATAAATACATGTTTATATAGGTATAGATATACATATGTTCCTTTTTTTGTCATTTCATAGAATGTGGAATCGTAGATGTACCAGTGGTGGTGGTGGTGGCATAGTTAACAGAATATTATGAGCTCAGCCTCTAATCTTGATCATTATTTCAGTTTCATTATTGGTTAAACAATGTATACTGCAATGTCAATATAGCTAGTTCTCTTAATCCCCAGACTTGTTTATCCAATTTCTATTTGACATCTTTCCTTGGGTTTCTGATAGGTATCTCAAACTTAACTTGTCCAAAACTGAATTACTAACCTCACCCCATCAAATCCACAGACACCATACACATACTAGAAATCTTGGGAGCAAATTCTTAAAAAATCTTTCCCTCATGTATCATCAAGTAGCCCTTACAAAATAGACTTAACTTCTTTCCACCTCTACTACCATTAACATTATCCAAATATCTCTGTCTCCCACCTGAGCTAGTGAAATTGTCTCCTAATTTGTCTTGCTGTCTCTCTTCTTCCCCTTTGATTCATTCTCACCAGAGTAGTCAATGTTTAAAAATACAAATTGTTCGTGTCACTTCCTTGCTTAAAAATCTTTAATTATTCTGACCAGCAGATGGTGTAATGATTATGTTGCTGGACTCTCCCGCGGTTGATGGCATTTCAAGTCCCGGATCTGGTGGCTTAAAACTCATGTTGGTCACGTGTGCATGTGTGCCCAAAATTCTGAGAGGAGAATAGAAGAAACTGAGGTGTAGCCATCACCACTGGAGAGAAAAGTGATTTCTCACTTTCTTTCTTTCTGTCTCTCCAGTGAGTGCATATGCCCTATGGCAAAAATCTTTTTTTTTTTTTTTTTTAAAAAAAGAACTCTTCAACTATTTCTCAATGCTTTTGGATTGAATTTCAAACTCTTTCACATTAAATGCTATATTTGAATCCAAACCTGAAGGCCAGGTCTCTGCTAATTATTTAAAGACTTTTTAATGCCAATAATGTTAGCCTTCCTGGGTTCTACACATTTGAAATCTTTCTCTTTTCTTTACTACCTTGCTGAAATGTTCCATAACTTAATCTTGAATTAGTATAATTCTGCTTCGCTACAATGAATATATCACCAAACTACTATAGGTGTACTCTAGATTCCAGGTATTTCTATCTGCTTGTAGCTAGTTCAGTCCTTTTTTTATGTTTGTTTGTTTTGTTTTGTTTTGTTTTGCTAGAGGGTGCATGCACATATCAGACAGACAGAGAAAGATAAAGAAAGCAAGCATCCCTCATGGGGAATGGTCACAATGTAATCTCTCCTCTTCTATTTCTGCTTGCAGGATTTTAGGCACACTGGCACATGTGCCGGCAAGTTTTATAAGTTTTTACGAGTTTCACTGCAGTCAGCCATGTGAGATCCAGCTGCCATAACTACCATGTCACTGGGTGGATCTTTTTCTTTTTTTTTTTTAAGTCTATTTATTTATTTCCTTCATGAGTGAGAGGGAGAGAGAATGGGGTTTTGATGCCATGATTCACCCCAGCCCCAGCCAGTCCCAGATCATGGGCATGTATGTGCCTGACGTACTCACTGAGAACTCTAGACACAAACCTGGAACCTTCCCACCTGGGTCCGCCTCACAGAACATCACATCTTATTGCTGTGTTATTCTCAGGCCCCAACTATCTTTCCTAAATGAACAAGTACAAGTTTATATTTAAACTCGTTTAGAGATATTTATCGCTTCGTCTGATTTGCTATGAAATGGAAACAGCCTCAGCTGAGTCTCAATATATAACAGGTTAATTTGGACTTTGCCACTGTGTGATCCAGGGTAAAAATTCGAACTATTCTAGGACATAGCTTCTTTTTGTGTCAAATGAGAGAATAAAGTTTTATGGTTTCTAAGATCTCTTCCACTTCCAGTAGTCACAGAGTTCATGATCAAATACAGTATTTCTTTAGAAACGGTAGAATAGTATCTATTACTCAAATTCCATGAAAACTACACAGAAAATAAGAGTCTATTTTGAATTTAAGAAACACTTTCACCAACAAGGAAAACAATTTAACCCAAACATTCTAGAGACAACTTAAGCCATTGTGCTACTACCATGAATGCACTGCTAAGATTTAATGCTGTCCTCAATTGCCCAGTGAACATGTACAGTGGCAAGAATTGAAAATACACAAACAAGTACTACTAGTATTAGTACTGCTACATAGTAACAACAATTGGAAGACTAACATGGGTAATGAACAAAAACTAACTGTAATAATCAAATGGAAACAGAAAACCTAGAGAAAAACTAAGGTATAACAAGTATCAAAGAATTTTTTCCTGAAAAATCACTAGTTTATACTGGTTTTCACGAACAGCCAACATATCCCTTCTTCCATATTCATTCTGTTTTTATAATGTTAAAAAAAAAAGAAGCTCTCCAAATAAAGTTACCAGTTTGATCTAATGTATTATAATAATCTTTAAATCTGACTACAGTCAATTCTAAGTCTTGATCAAAATCATTAATGCCAGAAAGAAAAAAAAATATATCTCCTTCCCTAATATCTTAGAACGTTTGAAAATGGGAATCTACTCTTGCTGACACTTAATTACTATGCCAGGTTTGACTACTGCTCTCTGTATTGATGGGTTTCATAAATTAAATGATCCACATTACTTTACCTGATACATTCCAACTCCAATGTGCTTCGGCTCAATTTTCACTAGTTCAGCTAATGGATCCTGTACACGCCTTGCTATGGAAACTGAAAAAAAGAATCAGAAAGCAAGGTGATTTACTGTGAAAGCAGTACCTAGATGACTGCTTATGTTCATTCCTCATAAAGTAAATACTGAATCCTGTCCAGTCTCGCTTCTCCACAAAAGGCCAAAAATTTAACAATTTAAGTTTCAAAGTTCCCTTTTTTCCTCCCCACGAAAAGTGAATGTAAAATTTCAAGGTTAATTTCGAGGCATTCCTGAACACAAATAGACTGAAAAGATTACAGATTTTGAAAAATAAAATATTTAGTTTCTAAACTTACACAATTACCTTTTCATTCTTTAGATAAAGCAAAATAAAGCACCTTGCACTTTAAAGAATAGATATTTGTTTTACTTTAAATAATCCTGTATCATTATAAATGTGATTTATTTTTATGTACCAGATATGCTTTTAAGGACAGGATCCTAATAATAATGAATAAATTATGATTTATTTTTATTTTTTTTAGGTTTTTGCCATAGGGCATGGCCACTACCGGAGAGAGAGAGGGAAAGTGAGAAATCACACCCCTCACCTCCCAGGGAGGATGACCATGCCAAAATTCCTTCTCCTCCACTCTCTTATAGAGATTTTGGGTACACACACACACACACATGCCCTGTGTGATTCTCAATCCACCTGGTCTGGGACTTGAATTGTCATGTAGGAATTCAGCACCTCAACCACCACACCAGCTGCTGGCCCATGAAATCATATTTCATTACAACCAGATATCAGGTACATTAGAAAGTGTATATATAAGTAAGGTCTTGAATATGACTAGAACACTACCCTGAGAAGTGATCTCCTTGAGTCCCAAGTGATTACCTCTTAACACATACAGTTTTCATCACATCCCTTTCATGACCACCACAACCCACATTCAAGAAACTTGAGAGTTAACTTCACACATTCCTTTATCTGTGCCACAATTTTACTTGGTTATCGTTTATTGTCATCAATTTTTAAAACTAAATGCTAATAAAACTTCATATATAATTTAACTTATAAAATTTATTTAGAGAGGGACCAAGAGGTGGCACAGTGGTTAAGGGCGCTGGACTCCCACATGACCAACCATGGTTCAAGTCCCAGACCTGGCAGCTTGATTTCTCACTTTCCCTCTCTTTCTCTCTCTCTGTCCCTCTCTGATTAAATAAAAATAAATAAGTAAAATAAAGTTAAGATAATTCTTTAAAAAATAAAAAAAGAATTATTAAAAATTTATTTAGAGAAAATAAATTTATTATGACTTATGGATTTTTCTAAAGATAGCTCCCCATTCCCCCCTACTACTCCCAAGTGTTATAAGTTACATTGAGTCCTTACATAGGAACAATTTCCATTTTCTAAACACATGAAAGCTAAGGATATCTCCAAGCTAATGGAGAATCTTCCTCTCCCAGGAAGAGTTATGAATGACCAAGAGGCATATGAAAAAATGTTCAAAGTCTCTTGTCTTAAGAGAAATGCAAATTAGAACCACAATGAGATACCATTTAACTCATTAGGATGGCTAGAATCAAAAAGTAGAGGCTGTGGTAAAAAGGATCCTTCTTACACTGTTGATTGGAATGTAAATTAGTTCAACCTCAGTTGAAAACAATAAGAAAGTTTCTCAGAAACCTACAAATAGAACTCTCATATGACCCAATAATCCCCCTCCTTGGTATTTACCCAAAGGATAACACTCAATCAAAAAGACACTTGCACATCCATGTTTATTGCAGCATTATTGAGTTGCTAAAACATGAAACCAACCTAAGTGTCTAAAAATTGATCACTGGGTTGAAAAACTAGAGCACATATATACTCTAGAATATTACGCAATGAGATCCTTTTATTTGAATCAAAAATAGATGAATGTAGAAGACTTAATGCTGAACCAAGGGAGCTCGATTTTGAAAGATACACATTGAAAATGCTCACTCAGTTTATACTGTCTATGGCAGAGGTTGAGAGATCTGAAGATGGGATGGTGGAGAGGATGGGTGTGGATGCCAACGACTGTAGCGGAGGCTAGTAGTTGGTTGAGGGTGAGGTGAGATGCAAAGGGAGAAGACAGTTACAGACAGAAAAATGTAAAAGAAAAAAATGTAAAAATGTGACTCAAAACATAGCTTTATTATGTAGAAAAAATGTTAATCCATAAAAGAAAATTTGATCTACTTGTTATATTTCTCATGATAAAAGTATTAAATTAGTATTGTGATATATTTAAAAGCAAAGTTAAGAAAAAAAGTATTTGTAGGGCTGGCAGGTGGCATGCTGGTTGAGGTGCTAGATTTCTACATGGCCGACCAACCATGGTTCCAAGTCCCAGATCTGGTGGTTTGCTTTCTCTCTCTCTCTCTCAACAAATTAAAAAATGATAACAATAATAGATAAATAATTCTAAAAAAAGTTTGCAATAAATGAGAACTTAAGCAATTACAAATATTTTTATAAAAAGCTAATCTAGCCAACTCATATAGGCTGGATAAAATACAAATTAATTAAGTGAAAACATTAAGGCCATCAAAAGAAGTTCCATGCTTGTTTTCAGGTTAAACTGTTCAAGGTCTAGCAATAGAAACCACCTTCTGCAAGTAACTATTAGATTCTCTAGTTACTGATTTATACCACCTCTTTTATCAAAGACCTATGGTGAACACCGAGTTCACTGTATAATCATTCAAGCTTTTTTCATAACCTTTATTATTTCATCTAACATATAGTGACATGCTTTGCAAGCTCCTATATAATAAGTTTATATCATACAATCTGCCCATCTCTCTCACAGATAAGGCCTTCATATATATCTTTCTTATTAAAAACAAATCACATAAGGTTAATTAACACAAACATTGCAGGTTATAGGAGAAATACTTTTCTTTAATAATCACATTTGTAATTACAGATTGCAAATACAGTGCAACCAGAGATAAGCCTGAATTTCTGTAAAGCAAATATTATTTCTTTATCCTAGCCTTTAAATCTATAGTGCTATAAGAATGACTTACAAACACATGTATACATTGCTAAAATACTTGCAGAGCAAAATATCAATCAATCAATCAATTAATCAATCAATCAATCCATAACCCACCATGGTAAACCAACTTAAGAAAAAAGGCACAAGAACATTACTGAGTAGGAAGACAGTGTTAAAAATTCAATAAAACGATATCAATAATGGGTAAATCTCTCAAATCTACTCATACAGAAAACTCACCATTATGAAAATCTAAACTTTGAAACTGGTTAGAGTATCTGAATAAATTGTTAAGTGTGGATAGTTTCTCATATTTTAAAATTCCTAGAAATACAAAGGAGTTTTAGAACTGCTTTCTACCTTGTTCCCTTCTTAGTCCTTCACTGCTGGCATCCCCTTTTCCAACCTAGTATTCCTAAATGCGGCACAACAATGGGTAGAAAATAATAGTTTCTTGGTAACATATTAATTCTACAGTAAGTCCAAAGAGCCTCTGGAGTTACACTGCCACAGACATGGACCCTTGACATAGGTCCTGATGTTTCTAGAATTAATTTTTCTCTGCCAGATGCTATTCATTTCATATAACATAAGTATGTAAAGGATGAGAGGCAATAGGAGGGAGACAGAAGAACACTGTTAAAAAGTTACTTAGTAGAGAGTAATGCAGAGCTCTCAGTTGAGAATGATCAGGCTGACAACAGATTCATGAAAGTAAGTGATAAGGTAGTTTATGAGATTGATAAAGAGAATTAAGAGAGAAAAGCTGTGGCCCCAAACTTGGGGAATACCTACATTTTGAGAAAGATAATAAAAGGGAGGAAAAAATGAAGCAAAGAATGAATGGTGAGAAGAAAACAATAATGTAAGTCAAAATAGATTCTAGAAAATGTAAAACAAAGTTACTACATGCTCATCAATTTACTCCTAGGTATATACTTAAAAAAAATATATATATGCCTACATAAAACCTTATACATGAATGTTCACAGCAGCATTATACATAATAACCAAAAAAGTAAAAAGAACTCTAACATCCTTCAATTGATGAATATAAAAACAAAGTATACCCTCTAATTAATTATACCCATCCAATAAATTATTTAGCTTTAAAATGAAATGGAGTATTGATATACTATAACAAGAATTAACCTTTAAGACTATGATAAATGAAAGAAACCAGGCACAAAAGACCACATATTGTATAATTGCATTTAAGTGAAATGTCTAAAACAGGCGAACATGTTCACATCTGCCAGGGATTAGGGTGGTGGATAGGAAGAGAAATCAAAGTGATTGATAATGAATACAGGGTTTCTTGGTGGAACTATGAAGATGTTCCTTTTTCTTTTTTTTGAGAGAGAGATTTCTGCTTTAGGGCTCATGCACTCACCAGAGAGACAGAGAGAGACAGAGTGAGAAATCCCCCGGCAGCGGGGATGGCCCACACCACAGTCCTTCTCCTCTATTCTCCTCTCTGAGTTTTGGGCATGCATACACATGTACCTGGCATGAGTTTTAAGCTACTGGGTCTGGGACTTGAACCACATCAATCATGTGGGAGTCTAGTGACATAACCATTACACCATTTGTTGGTCCCTATGAAGATGTTTCAAAATTGGACTGTCATGATGGTTGTACAACTCTGACTATACCAAAACCCACAGATTTGTATACTGTAAAAGGGTAAATTTAATACTATGTAAATTTTATTTTAATAAGGCTGGTATGTGTAATATTTTTTTAAATGCAGCATGTCAAAATATATTCCAAATACTATTTTGCCCACATATAACATCATTACTTCACTGTAACACTGCTACTATTCACCATTGTTATGGAAATTCTAGTCAATCTAAAAACAAAATTAGATATAAATATTAAAATGACAGAAACTAGGCTGTTATTATTATTATTATTTGCAGATGAAATAATAAGGCAACTGAAAAAATATCAGAACTCAAGAGAGCACGTCAGTTGGTTGGTTTCAAGACACACACACATACACAAAAATTGATATTCCACCA